CCTAATAAAACATATTTAAAAACCTCGTGAAGAGTTCAAGTAAAGAACAAACTCAATGATACAATTATGCCGAGGTTCATAGAAAGCCGTACATGGAATTTTAGAGACTTTATTTTTAGGCAAGACTGGTGCACAACAGAAGAAGTCTCGGTCCCGCTACACCATCATATATAGGTCTCGCGAACCTGTAAAACTGTAATCTGTTATGGAGGTCCCAGTGGCATTATTTTTCCTCTAAGCTTCTTTTTCTAAAATTTTGGGGGATATAACACTAAGCTGAATTCTTCCCCTCCCCTCCCCCCCCCGCTCTTTTCTCTTCATGGTACCATATAAAACATGCCTCTACCACCTTTCCTCCCTATCCCTTCGACTTTTCGATTGGAATCTAAATCCACTAATCGACAATCGACTCAATACAGGACAAAGAACCTTCAAACGCGATGTCAGATAGGTCAATAATTCAATTACTTATCTGAACAAATTGAAATGGGATAGACGATACTCGAAAAGAGGAGCTCTTTCTTAATACATTTACACCATTTTCTAATGGGTGGCGGCACTTACGTACCGCCTCCGCACTTTGACGGATCTGATTTACTGTGTGCATCCAGAGCACAGTACACTCCTAACTCTCTTGTGATCAGGAATCACTGATGTAGTCCAGGCGACGAGCTCCTGAGTCCATTACGGCCCACCCTCAATCCAAATGTACAACTCATAATAGAGTTACCTCGAGGTGTTGCTAATCGTTAAGAACGCCATCAATTTTTTTGCACCCCCTACTCATGCTCAGACATAACATTGAATTTTCACCTGGTAAGAAACACAAAAATAAAAAAAAATTAAAAAAGATGATAATGATAAAAATATGGTAATAGTACCCACGAATGACTTCAAGCAGTGTATCATGCTGTAGTTCCGAGTTCATTCTAAGATTGAATCATATCCATATCCATAATTATCCACTATACCGTTAACTAAAGTTATTTCTAGTCTAGGATTCAGTCTAGTAAAATAGAAAATGTCGTATATGTGTAGAAGCCTTTACGAATAAATCAAATGACTAAGTCGGCATTTTGACGTCCTTCACTTTTCGGGAACTCAGAAGTACCATTGCTGACTACTACTATGTCTAGGGATGAGACCTTAGCGAACTTCTTTACTCTTTGTGTACTTGGAGATTTGACTGATCTCAACCCCTTCAGATCCTTGCATACGGTAGGCTAATCATAGCTCATTAACGTCTGCCATTTGTCACTCGGTACCCAACAGAGATCACTAATACTGTGGTGACATTCCGCATCTCGAAATTTATGATAATCTGATCACTGATAACGCTAATCCCGAGCAGACCATATGCCCGACTCACTTCCAAATTATATTAATGAGTACATCATTGATCGTACCGGATCACTCGAAATTCAAAGAAGGCGACTAATGGCAGTTGTACTCATTAGCGCTTGGCCGTCTCGCGAAAGCTGCCAACTGTCAATCTTGTACCTGCGCGAGTGTGGATTGTGGTAAAGCATATGTCTCCAGGAACCAAAAAAAAATTATCTGCATTTGACTAATTGTCAAACACAGAACACATAATTCAGGTCAAATCTGCTCTAGGAGAACAGTGGATCACGTCTAGTCGAGAAGTCTTTTTCCTCAGGGTGCGTAGGCGCCCGCTCGTTGTTGCCGCGAGCGGGGGGCAGCGTCGGCGGGCCATTTAGGCACTCATCCTCAGCGAGATACTCGGCGATGCTGAAGGCTCGACCGACCTCCCATATCCCCATGTTCGCTTCCGCCAGTTACTGAAAAAAAATGATGAAATGTAGGGGAAAAGAGAACTCACACTGGAAAAAGAAAAATCGAGAGACCATCACCGGAATCACATACCGCGCGGATGAATTCCTCTATCTTTTATATGACCTCCTGCAGCGCATTGAAATTAATGCTGCGCGTTCCTCCTCCGCGTCGGCTTGTTTGTCCAATTTTTCTACCCAGTAAATTACTAATTGCCTGTTCGCTTGCAACAGGCTAATCTCCGTTAGTCAGTGGGGACATGGGGCACAATTGGTCGGCTGAAAAGCGAAGAGTGAATTAGATAGAAAGGTGGGTAAATTCTCATCATCTCAATACTTACTATAAGCGTCCGGAGCATTGCGTCCTCCAGTGTAAGATGATGGTGATCTCAACGACATGCTCACTAGGGTCAATCAATCAACGAAAATCAAGCTGTATTCAGGAAAAAACGCCCGAAAATCGCCAACAATAAGATATACGAAGTCTCTCAACCTCAGTCAATAAATAAACTCTTCAAGTTCCACATTTATTCAAAAATAAAAGTTTTATAATAGGAACAAATCAAGGGTTCCTCTTTTCCCCCGTAGTGAAGGGTTGCTGTGAGGGTGTGAGGGTATATATATATATATATATATATATATATATATATATATATATATATA